TTAGTAAGGAATTTTTCAAAGTTAAAGGGAATAATTTTTAAATGTTGGGTGAGGAGGGGTGAACAAAGCCTCTCTGTCTTCTCTAACTTGAAAAACAGGAATGCAAAAAGTACTTTATCTTTTCTTTGCAGTTCAGTATCTATAGCTTCTTGGAGTAGGACTCTTGCATAATCTATAATATTTTGGAGTGAGTTTTTGGTTGAGGTTGCAGAGTACACAGTAAGACTACAGGTCTCTTCAGTGAGCCTGGAAAAGACAAACCATAACCTAAGTTCTGAATAGCGGTGGAACTGGCGGTCTTCTGTCTTGCACTGAAGCTGACGCCCTGTTTCTACTACTTTTAAAACCAAATATCAGTAAGGGGGGGGCACAGGATTTTGTGGTGGCTTTTTTTTTTTTTTTTAACACAAAATGATATTTGAATTAAGATGAATATATTGCAAAGTCATAAACTCTGTTGGAGTTCAGCTTTTACCACCAGATACTGGTGGGTAGCTGCAGCTATCCTAGAGTCATACAAGTAGCCTGCCCTGCAGCCTTCCAGGACTGGGCTAGGTCCCATTGCTGCCATCAGAGGGAATTGTGTGATCAGTGGTCACTCCAGAAGGACTTGCAGTGTATCTGTACCTCACAGCATTTCCATGTACTCTAGCAGAAGTGTGAGGGTGGGGGTTAGAAGACTGGGGAATGCAGAATAGGGTAGGAGTGACCTTGTCCAGAGGGCTGATGTTGAATCAAACTCCCTGGTAAGGGGACAGGAAAATTAGAAGTGGCTGTTTGCTGTGTCACAGAGGTGGGCAAAACTCCAGCTATCTCTACTAGTCTGTCCTGGGGAAAAATCTTATCTCTTAAATCCATCATCTGGCCATATGTTTTATCTGGTGTGTTTGTAAGATGCATTAACTAACATCTCAGAGATTGTCATACTGCTGAAAGCCCCCGTCTGACATCCTGTCTCCATGCCTGGCTGGCAGTGTGATGTCAGGGAGTTGTCTTCTAGTGACCTCAACTCTGGGGTGGCTCAGCTTCATTGTGATTCCTCTCTTGGAGCGAGCTGAGTGATCTGAAATAAGTTTGGGTGTGTGTATGTGTGGCTGAGATCCTGCAGATCTGCTGTGACTCATACAGAGCTGCACCAGCATTTGCTGAAAGTGCAGAAGAGCATATGTAGGAGATGCGTGAACTGGTCCCAGTTGGTCTGGCAGAAAGATCAGCCGTGAGTGTTGTTTTGCAGCTTATCTGCAGGAGCCTAAGGAGAGGAGACCACATCTCCCTGCCAAGTGAAGTGAAGGGGGGGAGGATTTTGCTTTTGCAAGTAAATCCCAATGATGATCCTTCATTTTGTGCATTCCATTTCCCTGGGAGCTGTGGTTAATTAGAAAAACTCCTGGCTCCTTGCCATGTCTTTTCACTCCAATTCTCCAGCCTGTCTCTAGACTGCTGATTACTGACACTGGACCAGGCTCTCCAAGCTGGCACTAAGGTCAGGCTGGAAAGACTTGTTCTCCAACAGATAGTTCTCCCAGTCTCCCAGATAGCCTGGGGTGTCTGTAGAGAGTGTGGGAGTGAGGGTCTAAGGGGGATAGATGGTTCTTAATCCGGTGGGTCTGAGCCTTGCCAAGGTGAATCTGCTGGAGGGGAGAGCCTGAGGCACCTCAGATGAAGAGGGGTAACGGAGGGTAAGGCCACAGGACTGACTCTGTCTATTCATTCCTGAACACTGGTCTGGGACACAGTTGTCTCTCTCCTCGCATTTGCTACAGCTTCAGTATTTCTTGCCTGTTAAGTGTCACAGTGCTACAAGTTTTCCCTCACACTTCTCTTGCTTAATAGCTAGTTACCATGGACCACTGCCTGTGGCTGCAGTCCTGCAGTCACTTCTGCCTGTACCTCCTGTTGCAGGGTCCAAAATGCTGTCCTAGGCATATCCTGAGTGTGTGGATGAGTGCTTTTACTGTGGTGGCAACGAAAATGCCTTATTTTTTTGAATTTAATCTTTTGAGCTTCCACATGAACTAGGGCTGCAAGCTGGTTAGTTAGAGTCTGGCTGCAGCTCTCAGGAGGCCCTGAAAATGAGGAGGCAGGTGCCAGTAGGATGCAGGCCCATGGGAAGGCTTAGGAAGCACCGGAGCTGCAGTTCTGAAAACATTAATGTCATCCAGAGGTGGGGCCTGTTGTTGGTTGGATCCCTTTGCTTTTCCTGGCTGGGTCTGCACTTCTCCTGAGGAGCTCCCTCTAGGGTCTGCACTTTTCCTGAGGAGCTCCCTCTAGAATGGTGGTTGTCACAGGTGGCTTCCAGGGCCACCTCTCTGGGCAGCCTGTGTGGAGTATCCAGTGTGTGTCCTTGTGTGGACAGAGCATGGGGTGCTCTGGAAGTTGGGTGGAGCAGAGAGGGGGTTTCTTTGAGAGACTTTGGGGTTTTGACTGCTGGGGAAGATTGTCACAACTCTTTTCTCCATCTTTCTTAGTCTCGTATAGCGAAGCGAGGAAGGAAGCTTGTGGATTACGACAGTGCCAGACACCATTTTGAAGCCCTGCAAACTGCAAAGAAGAAGGACGAAACCAAAATTGCAAAGGTAAAGCAAGCAGAGCGATGTGCAGGCATCCTTTAATTTAATCAGGTCTGCATTTGCTTCCTGAGCAGTTTTTAAGTGCACTTCTACCTCTTCATTGAGTGTGTTTTGTTCAGAGAGGTGTTGTGAACTGGTGAAGTCTGGCTAGGGATTTCCTTTTCGTTTGTTTAGCTCTAGAAAGCAGGATGGTCTCTGTTGTGTTGGTTCAAACTCACCATCTGCAGTGAGCATCTCTTGGTGGCCAAGGCCTCGTTTCCTCAGATGCTGCAGGACCAGTAACCTCTGTCAGGAAAACCTGTGTGCCTCTGGGGGATTCAAAGCCTTGCGGTGCCCCAACAAAATTTGCCAGACAGATGAAGCTCTGTTTCCCCCCGTCTTACAACAGTGCTGAGAGTAAGTGTTTGAGTGTTGCTTGAGGTTGGTTGTGTTTGTGAAGACCTCTGATATTCTAAGATGGACACCATTAGGAGTGTGAATTACAAGTTTACTGGGGGAAATGCACCCTATGCACATTTGATGACTGTGTTCTGTTGTCTGTTGGCCACAAATACTGGACAATAAATACATCCAAAAACAGGAAAACAAGTTTTTTCTTGTCAGGGTACGTTTTTTTTCATGCTAGTGAACAACCTGATCTAGTTAACCTCAAAGCATGCTGAACTTGGAAGTGCAGGGTTTGGGGTTTTTTTTATTAAAATAAATGTAATTTAAAATAAAATTTGGATTTTCTTTTAAATGTAACTGAAGAAAGGTGATAGTGATAACCTTCTTCCAGGGGAGGCACATGGTTTGATTACCTGCTCAGAAAATAAGCTGTGGATTGTTCCTGTACCCTGAGTGGATTTGAACCCATGTGCTCCACTCCACAGGACAGGTCTTGACACAACAGATTAATCCAGTTCTGGGGTGACATTTTTAATTCTCTTGAATGTAGGCCATGGCACATCAGGACTTTTCAGGACGCAGTGCAGGAAAGAAAGGGCTCAGATCTGTATATTTTAACCAGACTGAGATGAGCTGTTGTGCTTTGCTTAGAGATATTTCTGGTAGCGGGAAATAATGAGCTATATGAGAGATGCTAGTGTTTTTCCTGCATGGAAGAAATAAAGATGCATCTCTCTCCCAAGTGAAAGGTCTTATTTAATAGACAACTGACAGTACTTTTGTTTTTAAGTTTCAAGTCATTAGTCATCTGTTCACTCAGTGCATGCACTGTGATTAACCTTGACAGACAAAGGGGAGAGAGATTGATAGTTCAGGTGTCATTGTGTCATTTGTGTGGCAAAGCAAGTCTTGGTTCTGTATGCAAGGCATGAGGCCCAGCAGGTTCTGCCTTCTGTTCAAAGCAGTACTTCACTGTTTTTAGGGGTAAGAGCAGAACTTCCCTGGGCCGTGGTATTATTGTTGGTATGTGCCTGTGGAAGTGGATTTTGTAGGAGTTAATCTGCTCAGGTTGGTACCTGGTGATCTGCACCGAAGAAGCTGGCTGCCTTTGTCATTGCTGGACTAGCTCATGTTGCCCCAAATGCTCACATAGACATTATTAACAAGGGATTGTTTGTTGCTCTTTTGTTAAAGTATGAAGAACAATGCAGTTTGAAGAGTGAAATGTTGAGATTTAGCAGTTGGTTCATGATTCAGCCTGTGAAGTGTCTCTTAGTACTTGCTTGGACTCTTCTCATTAGCCCAAATGTGCACTGGATCAGATCTTTCCACCTTCTGTGTGTTAGGCTATAAGCTCATGCACGGGATAATATATGACACATCACACTGTCCTGATCCTGTAAAGATGGAAGCAGTGAGTCCCCGAAAGTTATGTGCATATGCTCTTCCCAAATGGGCAGGTTTCCCAGCCCAGCCTATGATCCCACAGTTGCAGTGACACGGCTCTGTGGGGCTGTGGGCAGCACCCAGGGCTCAGCGTGCATTAGCCTCACATGCAAAGTTCACCTCTCTGTTTGTGTGACTGCGATTTTGCTTGTGTGACCTTTGAAGTAGGGTTGTTCCAGTGTAAGGTGCTTTGGAATATGATGACAAGTCCCTAGGAAAGAGAAATTTTGTTTATGACATAGCATACAAGTGGGAACTGACTTGACTGATGTTTCATGGTATAGTAACACAAACAGCAAAGTGAATACTTTTTGGAGCTGTATGGTCTCTTTTTTTTTTCTTCTCTAATAATATGGATGTTCTTTTCCCACTCAGGACTCCTGCCACTTATTGCTAAACTCACAACCCGCAATTAAAATAAAGCACTGTGGACTTTCAGCTGTTGCATGCAAATAATTATAGTGGTTAATTAATCCTGACCTTTCTTTAAGGAGCTCTGACTTCACAGCCATGACTTGAACTAGCATTGTCTGTGTGCTAGGTCACTAACAACTCTATCTGTTGCTCTTTGCAGCTGCCTGGCTGGTCTGCAGTATCCCAGCCCACACTGGAGCATTAATTACTGCTAAACTTGGCATGCTTCAAAGGATTCATAACTGATCGGTCCCGGGATGTTTGTTTTTTCTCTCGCCTTGGTGATACTGGTTTGGCCCGGCCTCTAAATATCTCTGTTGTGATTTTATTTTTTTATCCTAAAAGATATATGTTTGTGTCTCTCTTGTTCTCTGTTTATTTTTTTCTCTTTTCACTCAAACATGCTCCCTCCCCCCAGCCTGTTTCGCTGCTTGAGAAAGCCGCGCCTCAGTGGTGTCAAGGGAAGCTACAAGCTCACCTCGTTGCGCAAACTAATCTGCTCCGAAATCAGGTGACTGCTGATCTACCTGGCTCTAACCCTGCATGTGCTATTTTGGGCTCTAGATTGTACCATGCAACTAATCTCTAGGCAACGTTCACTCTAGTCCCCTCTGTTAAGTGTGTCCTTGATATGCCTGAGCCACGGTGGACATGTGGAAGGTGCTGACCAATGAATGAATCTGTGCCTGCCCTATTGATTTCTAATCAGGTGTGTTAACACTGGACTAATGTTTTCTCTCCCTAAAATGAAATGAGAATGAAGTAAGGCTATGGAATAACACCAAGGCAGAGGGTGATGTACTGTAGTTCCTCCGATTATTCCTTTCTTTTTCTTCTAAGAGAAGCAGTAAATTTTCATTGTTGCTGTTTCAAAAAAAAAAAAAAAAAAAAAAAAAAAAAAAAAAAAAAAAAAAAAGAGGAAAACACTAGAAAAATTGGCTTCTGCATTTCTGCTGTCGAGTAAAACCAGAGAAAAACACATTACTTTAAAAGCAATTTCCATGGCTGCTGAGTTAAGTTGCAACATTCTCCCATAGTAAAATCCAGGTTTCCAAAATAGGCACTGTCCTGGCTGTTGTGGTCTAAATGAGCTGTTTCCAGATGTACAGAGGTTCAGTCTGCATAGGAGAAGAGATAGGCCCAGACCAGGGAATTTGCAGCCCGTGTAATATAGTTGAACAGCTCCAGGTTGAGGTCATGGTTGCATCATGTGTGCATCATGCATTGGCAGAACTGGGCCAAACATTTAGTTTTATAGCATCTTGAGGGACATGAGAGCAACTCAGAGAAACTGCAGGGACAAAGAATTTTAATCCTACTTGCATGGGAGAAACGTGGCTTCCTGATGAAATCTCCCTTGGTATTTAGCTAGGAGCTCCGTAAGGGATAACAGGGAGCTGACAGAAAACAGTGAGAAAAAAATGCTTTCAGTGGGCAATGGATTGTAAATCATTGCCCAGAGTGGGAGAGGAGAGTGCTGTTACCTGCTCACAAATTCCTGATGAGCTCATCTGTTCTCATTCAAATGCTCCTACGTTTTCACATTCCTTGTCAGTGAATGAATTGCAGTTTAGAAATACTAAATCGCTCTCACCTTATAAAGCACCTGGGTTTTTCACAGTCAGTTTATGACTGCAGATCAGGGAAAAGATTAGATTACCACATCAATAAAGCCTAGGAAAGAACAGCTGTTAGCAGGCCTGCTTAAGATGCATAGCAAAGGGAGGAAATATGTATTCATTCTTGATTGAAGGGAGAAGGACATTTGGCAATGTGCCGGGGCTTTTCCTGTGCTGGGAACAATCTACATGGTTGTGGGTCTTGATGGATCTGTTTGGCTGGTGGCATTTCTGGAGGACTAGAAAGCAGGTATAGGAAGTTTCTCAAGCCACAAATAATTAAATAAATCAGCTCTTGGGCATTTTTCCTCTTTTCAGACTGGCTGGAGTGACTGGGAGTAATACCACTGCCCATAGATTGCCTAGAGAAACAGCACCTACGAGTGCTCCCTCATCTGTTGCGCTCTGCTCTTAGACCGGCTACCAAGAGTTGATCAATAATTTTGCTGTACTGGGTAACTTTGCCCTAAAGCAGGTGACAAGGGCATATGTAATCTTTCCACCCACTGTGTTGCAGGGGTTCTTAACCTCCTGCTAAATGATATTAATATTTTCAGTCACCCCAGATATTTTCAACTCAAGTTAAGTCCTCCTTTAAGTTTTTCCTCTTTCATTCTTGAACTAAAGAATACTATTGCCAAACCTAATTTTTTGTTTCTACTTATGCAAGTCTTTTTTTAAAAAAATTATTTTGATTGGGGACTAACAAAAAAATCTTAATAAAGAAGGTTAATTTGTATTCTGAACCTACAGATTTTCCAGCTTTTCTTCACAAATACAAACAGGCAGGAAAAAGAAAGGCTTCAGTTTTTATATTTGCACGACTTCAAGACTGGAGGTGTTACTGACAACCCTAAATCTCATTAAGCTCTTGATAAAAGCGAGAAGGCTTTTGTCAAGAGATGACACTGCATTAATTGAGGAGCTTCAGAATGTTAAGCCTAAAAAAAAGTCCTTCCCCTTACCAGCAGCTGTGTTGCTCTCTCTTCTTGCCTGATAAATTTACAACCTCCAGCAAGACCTATTGTTTCTACTGTAAAACCAAGTCCTTTCCTCCAGTGTGCAAACTGCTGGCTTTTTAGGCCGTTAGCAGATACTAGCAAAAACAATACAGTGGGAGTTTTCTGTAAAGTCTCCTGAGGAGTTTGCTATTGCAAGCTCTGGTTACAAATTTTGGTGGCTGGCCCTTTTTGAAACAAAAGGGAAAATGGCTTAGAACAGCAAATTCTTGCCTTTTTGCTAAGCTCCCCTGAAATGCTGAATACAGGCTAAAAAGCAACATTCTTGGTGCTACAGAGATAACAGAACGATATCTGTGTAGGAGAAAGCCAGCAAGTTGAGTCCTGGGCTGTGCTGTGCTTCTGAGAAGCTGGTCTGGCTGGGTCGAGTGGGGGCTTTGGCCTGGGGTGGGGTGCTCAGCTCTCCACCTTACCCCTGCCTCATGGATGTCTAAACTATTTACTGGGCAGTGTATAATTACCACAGTTCACAGCATAGCGTTTGAAGAGAAATGGTCACCAGATTGCCTGAAAGCACCAGGCTGGATATTGCCAGATGTTAATGAGTGCTGGGATGTATGATGATAGGGAACGTAATGGAGAATAACCAACCCTGTGTCAGAACTGAACTGGTTGTGCTTGGTGCTCTAAGTCTTGGCTAGGGGGAAGGTCAGGAAAGCATTTGTGTTGTCTGGCTCCTGCTCAAACCTTCCCCCTTTCAGATGAGGAGAGGAAGAATTTTCTGAGATCTTATTTCATGGACCTGGGCATTAAGTCCTTCTGCCCCAGTTCTCCATCAGGTTGGCAAGGATGACAATTGAAATAGGAAGTGCACAAATAACAGTAGCAATGGGCTCTGCCCCGAAACCTGTGTCCTTCCTCCTTTCCCCACCATACTGCATGAGCTGGCTTTTCTTCTAGTAGGTCTTGTAACCAAGTTAATGCCTGTCTTTGGCTCCAGCTGGAAGCAGTAAGGGCTATCCAGTGTCAAGACCCCTGCTTCCAAGCAAAATAACTCACACTGGTGAGAAGACCCCTGGGCTGACAAAGGAGTAAAAATTAGTTCAGTGCTATACTTGGGACTGAGAGCACCAGCCGAGCCACAGGCACTAGATGGATCCCTGATTCCTAGAGCTACTCTAGAGTGAACGTTGCCTGTTGCTGATTTTGGCTTTACCTCAGGATGCCACAATATTGACACGTTGCTTTCTAGGTTCTTTGACGTTTGAAAAGGTAAACAAGAGAGGGAAAGGCTGTTACTAATATTCACTGTGTCTGAAAAGCTAATAGCATTCAATGGTGCCTCATCTCCCAGCTATCCCATCTCCTGGGTTGATTCTGGTTCCAGTCTAATTTCACAATTAAAATAAGATAAATTCAAAGGATGGACTGGGATTTTTTTTCCCCCTCCCTTTAAAAGGGTTACATTAGAAACATTCATTCATAGAGGGATTTTAAGGCAGAATGAGTCTTTGTGATCATCGTCTCTGTTTAAATGGGCTTTTTGTTTGTTTTGTGCAAACTCTCTCAAAATGTTGAGTTTTTCAGTGAGTCTAATGAAATAGAGGGGTTTCTGAGTAGAAGCATCATGGCTCCTTCTCCTGCCTGCTCCTCACAAGATCTGCTTAACTTTTGAGTATGTCCCAGTTGTGTCTTTTTCTGGGGGAAACTTTCTCTTCTGATCTTGAGTACAAAGTCTTAGCCTGGCCTTTGGCAGCAATGAATGACCCTCTGAAAGGTGGAGCTAGCTGGAAAGTAGGAAATTCTGCAGCTTGCTCAAAAGTCAGGAGAGAAATGTAGAGTGTAAGGATCCTACACAACACTCTGAGGAACAGGCCTCTGAACTGCAAAATATTTTTAAGTCTTTTCTCCCATCAGTCCTGTCTTTGTGTGTACCTGTCACTAAGGAGCAGTAAGCTGGATTTCTTTAATTAAGCTGGCACAAAGAAGATAAAACCTCATTTCGCAGAAGGGGTAGAAATCTGATTGCAGGCTTGTACAGAGATCCAGTTCCCCAGGGGTTTGTGAGCTCTTTGCAGGGCCCTTTGATGCTGTGACATTCCTGTTGTTGTCACACATGTCAGTAGGCACTTGTGCTGACCTTCCTGTTAAGATGTGCAGTCAAGTTGCTTACACAGGGATTTGCCATCCTGCATCCCGCTGTGGAGGGTTATGGGAGAATGCTGTGCTGTTGCAAATTACAGGACAGAAGTGTTTTAATTAGCAAGCTTTAAGTCAGGGCACTGACAAGAGGAAGAGGCCACCTAGGACAAATATGGGAAGAGGAATGTGCTTGTTGCTGGTATCTGCTGTCAGCAACAGAAACTAGGATCATTCTTGTTGTCACTGACACCTAGCAGAATTCATGTATCAGTGGTTGGGTCTGTCAGTGTCTAGGTCAAATGGACGGATCAAATTTTAAACTCTCAACTGGGAGAAATAGGTCCTGTACAAGGCATATTTCTCTTGGTGTTGGTGGCCAACAGCCAGGCAGGGATTGCTCTTGTATTAGGTCCTGACCAATGAGAGTATGTAAGACCACTGAAACCAAGACCTGCTGCTTAAGCACTCCAGCCTGGCCTCCTGCTGGCACCGCTCATGCTTTGCGTACCTTTCCTTGCTTCTCCAGTCAACTTTGTGAGAGAGCTGTATCAGCCAAGGATGCAGACCTCCTCCCTTCCTCAGAAGAAACGGGGCTTTGGCATGACCTTACCCAAGCAGAGAGAGTCCCCATAAGGATGAGGGAGGACTCTCTTCTTCAATGCTGCTTGGCATGGGTTTCAACTGTTTCAGACACTTGGCAAGGGGCAGAGGCCACTATTATCTTTATCCATATCTAAGCTGGAGGCTGAACTGCCTAACCAACTCCATTCAGATTCTGAAGCCAGGGAAACTTAGAGAACTTAAAACACATTAGTGGATGTTTGGATTACTTTCTGAGTATCCAAACAGGGAAATCCATTGAGAGAAAACATTGAAAGTAGCACATGCAAGCTGAAGGGACATCAAGTCACTTGTGATGCAACCCTGGTTCCTGGGAGACTCATTTGGGATGGGGATTACCCCATGCCAGAATTTTGCCTGGTCTCCCAAGGAAGTCAAAAGCACCAGGAGTCACAGTTATCCCAGCCCTTCAGGGTACTTGTACGCACTGGACCTGACAATCCATCTTTGTTGTTCTTAAGGCTGAGGAAGAGTTAGTAAAGGCTCAGAAGGTGTTTGAAGAGATGAACGTTGATCTGCAGGAGGAGCTGCCTTCACTATGGAATAGGTGAGTGCTGGAAGTTTTCCCAAGGGCTGGTTGGAAGGAAGTGAAGACCCAAGCTCTTGTATCACTGTTCTCCTTAGCTTGGGTTGGGCATCTGCTTTTGTTTTCTGGATCATCTAGAGACTTTGTTTTAGGATTCCCCCCAGCCAGGTTCATCCTGGGCTTTGTGCTTTGCTTCATAACCCTCATGAGAAACTGTGTTTCTATGCTTTGTCTCATTAATCCCTTTGCCCCACCAACTCTGCCCAGCTTTCCTGGGCAATGGCCCAGCTTCTGCTGTGGACAACAGAAAGCAGGCTGGGTCACTAAGATATTGGGTGTGGAACTGGCTGGCTGGAAGGAACATCTGCAGCTGCGTGGGTATGTCATCTGACTGATTAAGGGAAGATGAGTTGTCAGAGGGGTTTATACAGTCACTGGCATTGGAGAGAGCTAAGAGGTGATACCTTGATCAGTGTCTCTTGCCACACAAGAGGGAGGATGAGAGGACAGATTGCTCTGCTTTGGATACCACTTTCAGGTTTGGGCGGTTGGGTGAACAAAAATGAGGGAAATATCCTGGTGTGGCTGCATTCTCTTGCCTCTAAATGTGCTCCTGGCTATGTGGCACAGGACCCAGGGAGGAAATAGTCGTTACAACTGTTGTGTTGTGCTCTATTTAACAACACATAGCCTGGGCAGAGGAAAATGGGCTGAGAGAATAGGAAGACTTGAGAGACCATGGGTTTGCCATACCAGTGATTACAATGATGAAAAGGGAGGAGAAAGGAACAGACTGGCTTGGAGGATGAACTAGAGGGCAGAAGAAGCTGATGTATGGGGAGGGCACAGTGGAAAGCAGGAAAAATACTCCTAAGAGTGTCCCAGTTTCTTATTTTTAAATGCAGTGATCACATCTGGGTTGGCAACGCAGGTCTGTGAGGGATGGGGAGAGTGGGCGGCAGCAGGGTGAGAAAGCAAAGTGCTGATGTTTGCTTTCACTCTGCTTTCCTCCCAGCCTGGGTCAGGACTCACTGCTCAAAGCAGCATGCAGGCCTGGCTGAGGAAGGAGCTGGGAGGGATGCAGGCATCTGGATGGCTCCATGTGCAGAACGGTGATGCCGCTGGCCTTGGAGAGCATCTCCCTCTGCTCTTGGTCCCCCAGCTGGTACAGCACACTCTGTTAGCAGATGGCAGGCTGGCTAGAGGAAAGAAGGTGGCAGGTGCTGGGATTTTAAGGTGCCACAGGTTGTTCACAGGCTCCTGCTATCTATCTCATACTTCTGCTTTCCTGTTGCTCTCTGTGCCTACCGTGTGCTTTCTTACTCTTCTGCCCCTGAAGCAAATAGTTCATGGTTTTTTTGCTTCCCCTGGTGCTGAGTGACTTCAGAGTGAATTAATACCTGTCCTACCAATTCCCCCAGCTTGCTCCATGCTCCATCTGCATTACAGCCTCTATCCTTTTCCTTTCCATCACCCTACCCCTTTCTTTCCTGTCTTTCCTTTCTTTCCTTCCCCTGCACCTCCCTCTCCCTTTAGCCAGCACAAATTCAGATCCTGTCCCATCTGGCCTCCTCCTCACCTTGGACATGTTTGCCCCGTACCTGGCCTTTGCCCCATCACCCCTTTGACACCCCTCTGCTGCCCTTCTCTTCCAGCATGTACCAGGCCTGACAGAGTTGAGTTTGAGTGGGAATGGTGGGTGGGAGGTAGCAGAAGGGGCAGAATTGAAAGTTTTTGAGAGATCATTGTGTCCATTAAATTGTTCTGTCTCATTTTTTTGTTTGGCAGTCGTGTTGGTTTCTACGTCAACACATTCCAGAGTATAGCAGGTCTAGAAGAGAACTTCCATAAAGAAATGAGCAAGGTAAGGCAACTAACAGCTTGTCCTACTAATACACCTGCTCCTTGCTGTTATTAAAAACATAAAATAAAAAAAATCCAAAACAACAAACAAACAAACTGAAAAAAGGGCTGGAGAAAACAGAACATTTGCCCTACATCAGAAGAAAATGTTAACCCTTAGTTTTTTCTGAGCCACTTGGGAGGAGGGCTGTCTGAGATCGTAATGTAAAGGGATGGAGTACAGGGAAGAGACCACAGGGCCATGCAGGAGTAGGGAGTTTGTGTCACTTGGGAGGGCTCATTTGCAGATCCACAGAGGGAAGAGAAGCCACTTTCTGGCCTATCTCTTGCTGCCTTTTTTTAGTTCATCTTCTTTGTGGGTCTGTAACCTATAACCTGGGCACTCTCAGCCTGGTATCAATTTACCTCCTTCCTCTGCCACCTGGCAGCAAGTTGCTGTGAACCCTCATCTCTCTAGCTGTGGGGATGAAAACAGCAGGGAATCTGCCCATCTGCAAGTTGGCTGAAGACTGAGACCTGCCTCACTCTGGTCCCTCAAGAAGGTACTTCCCAGCAGTACATCTCTGCTTTGGCTTCTTTCCTGCCCTGCAACCCAAGAGAAGGCATTTGAGTGCTTAGCATGTCCCTTGCATGGGGTACCAGTTGGTCATGAGTTGGGAATCACTGCAGTAAGCAGCGTTGTAACCTGGTGGTGGCAGGCTGGATCCTGGTGTGCCAGCACCCATCAGAGGTCTTGTGAACAGTCTGTGGGAAAGCCCCTCCATTGCCGCTTTAATTTACAAATATGTTCTTGTTCTTTCACTTAAAAGCTAGAGAAGTCTTGAATTCCTCAGATCTGTACACTGCTCCTAAGAGTTGCACACCCTCTTTAAACATTGCACTAATCTTGACGATTGAGCGCCCAGCTGAAAAACTCTCGTATTCCCTCCCCTCCCCAATGTCATCCTGACAACAAGACAGCCGCTAAGCAACAAGCAACATTATAGTCCTTCAGTTCCCACCAGTCAGGGGCCCTCTGCCTTGGTGTAATGCATCAATTTTGAGCCCTGCTGACATTTCATGGGGACCTTTCCAATTAATAGCCTGCTCTTCTCCACTGAGGGGTGAACTGATTGTTAAGAATAGGGAGGATTGTTATAATTATCAGTTTGTTGCTCTTAACTTACATTCAGCAAAACATGGGAAAGATGCGTGTTAGACAGGAAATCTTGTATAATGTCTTGCATTTTTCTTTCCTGAGGAGTTTTGCATGAGAGGAGGCTTTTTCTTTGTTCCATAAGAACCATCTGTTTCTTATTACTGCTCTAGCATCCAATTAACTGCTGGTGTTGCCGGCACGATGCCTCCAACATTGATTGCATTGGATCCCTCCTCCTCCCAATGATAAATCTGGCATCTCAACTTGTTTATGATTTGGCTGTTTCAGAATAGAAGTGTCTGGAGTGAATACTGCAGCCTTTGGTGCTGGGGAGAGTTTAACCCCTAATATTGCATTTCTGCAAAGATATCCAGGTCCTGCCCAAACCTATATGGCCTAGGCAGCCTGTGAAGTTAAGGCTTGTTGACTGGAAGTCCAGCTTCCTTTGGCTCCACGGTTGAAATGACCATATCCCAAGCTTTATAAGCAGGTCTGAGGAGCAGCTTTGGCTACAAATCCAGAGTGAAGGTTCAGTTCTAGCACATAGACCTTTAAGTAAACTCTCTGCCTGCTTCTGCAATTGTACCTGCCAGCACACTGGTTGGGGGCAGGTGATAGAGGAGCAAAGAGTGTGGTGTGTAAAGGAGACTGAGCATTTCCACAGGGTACCAGCAGCTCTTGAACAGTTTGAGTGCTCTAGCATTTCATACCCCATGGAGGAGTGGAAACACATGTAGGGCTGTCTTCTCTTGGGGTAGCTGAGTATGTGCACGTGTCTGGGCACAAGCCTGTGTTTGGTCAGCCTGTGCAGGCCAGCCCAGACTCTCTTCTGGCACTTGGCCTCTTTTCTAATTCTTTTTTTTTTTTTTTTTTTTTTTTCTGTGGGAAATACCAGGGAGATACTAGTTAAATGATGTCCTGCTCGGTCTAGACAAGCAGTACTCAGGCAATGCCTTCCCCATTAAAGCACAGCCCAGGTCAGTAAGTGTGGGAATAGTGTCTTTCCCTCAGCAGGGGAGGAGGGACAGAGATGTCTCTACCAGGGGTATTGAAATCTCCATGATGTCAGTTGGGGAGTGATTGGACTACCTGCATATAGCCAACCAGTGCCCTTCTGAGACTCCCTAGAGCATGTCCAAGATTGCACTTGGAGCTGGGTGACACAATGCAATACCTCTTAACTTTCTAGAATAGCATCTGGAGGCCTAAACTTTCACTAGGTGCTCATATTTAGGCAACTGACTCTCAGCTCTGTTTTTTTAAAGTCAAATTCCATGCTTCAACATGTAATATTGAGCTACCTTTCCTTCTGGGTCCGGTTGCCCAGCACCCGTCCTGTTCTTTCCATCAAAAACTTCCACCATGTACCTGCAGCTTGTGAGCTTGCACACCAAGAACCCATTTGTTTCCCTGAACTCCTCTTTGGCCCTCCAAACTTGGAACCACCTGTTTGCCTAAAGCCTTATGCCCCTCCTGTGTACCCAGCTGAGATGCATTTCCTCTGTGTGTGTGGTGAATATGGTAGGAGGCCTCCTGATCTTGGAGCACTTCCAATCTGCACGTATGCAAGGAGTGAGTGTCCTCCACACCTTTAGTTTTCTTTCCTCAGCTGGGTCCAGTCCTGTATGGTTAAATGCAAGTCTGCACATTCTCCAGCACTGAGAGGGGAGGGAGAGGTCGGGCTCTGGATGAGGCTGTCTGGCTCCCATCCAAATGCGTGAGTGATGAAACCGTGTCAGGCTCTGGCTTCCAGCTGCTGTTAATCCCACGTGCTGGGTGAGCAGGAGCACAGCCCAAGTCCTCAATTGATGTATTGATGGAGGGAGGAGGTGAAGTCAGCATGAAGTAAGGGCAAGCTATGGTCTGAGTGCATTAATTTGGAAGGGCTAGATCAGCTGTTGAGACCTCTGTGCTCCCTTGTCTCTCCTCCCAGTTTAACCTCCTATTGCAGTCGTGCATAGACAACTTGCATGTCTTGTTCCAGCAATGTGTGTGGTGTTTGCCAGCTCTAAAGAAAGAGGATGCTTGAGTTTAATTTGGCCTTTGAATTTTGGATTGCTAACACCAAATTTTCAAAATGTTAATAGGAATGCTTCTTGTGAAAATAGTATCTTCTTCCTAAGTCAGCATATGGTGTCTGTTGATCATCACAACCCAACAAGACAGAAGCTTTGTGAGGAGGCCGTGGTGCCCATCCTCTTGCTGCCATGTGCCATGTTGTCTCTGATAGCAGCATCCTTCAGGGTCCTTGGAAGAGGATGAAGTATCAGGACAGATGAAGGCTGTAGCCATTGCTTTGTCCAGCTCCTTCCTCCTCCTTCCTTTCTTCCTCAAGGAAGTGTTTGCAGGCTGTAGTGACAGCGTGGCCCAGATATGTTCCTTTTTGTTGTGACGTAAAGTTTCTGGCCTGAAAAGCTTCCAGTGAATAAATTACCTATCCTCAAGATTCCTATGCTTACAAACTGCTAGCTTCATCTGGGACTGGAATGGGTGTTTCTGTGCTCTTTGGCTGGCTACGAGACCACATGGCCCTAAAAACTGAAAAAGAGCGCATACACAGAGGTCCCTGTGTGGGTAGCAATCTGAGTGCTGCTGCTTCATCACTCACTCCCTGTATCTCTGCTGAGATGCCAGACCTGCCCCAGAATGAGTTCTCCTCCTCCTGAGCACAGTGGAGCAGTGTGTTTTAGGAGGATGTAACAAAGGTTTGCCAGGGTAGTAAGTATGTTTTACAGTGACCAGGAAATGCTGTGAGGCACTTCGGTCTCTCCTGCACATCTGGCCTCTCATTGTGGTGCAGGGCTGGGGTGAGAGCATGCAGGAGGAAATAGCCCTCACTGATCTGATTGCTTATTGTGGCCTGCAGTATGAGCAGATGCTTCCCTACCCCTGTTCTGCTGGGAAGGGGATTGGAGATGGATACAATGGCAGGAAATGAATGAGGAGGTGTGAGAAGAGAGGCAATTATCTGTGTATATCATTATGGCATTCATACAAGACCCTAAAGAAATATTACTGTGGCTGATTAATCTGATGCTGGCTGTGTAGCACAGTAACATAGAGCAGCTGATGTGTTTCTGGGCACCTCAGTGATGTTTGGGATTTGTTTCTGAAAGAGTTTGAGCATTCGGGGCTCAGATGCCTAGAAGACCTAGGAGATTTGTAGTGTTATCCTAGTATGATTGGACAAACAGGAAAAAAATGTAGTAGGAAAGCTGCTGATTAGGTTCCATGTATAAGACTGCACACAGATTGTGTGAGTAAGGGACAATGGGGAGCTTGTTTCTTGTGTACCAATATTTACAGAGGAGAGTGAAGAGTTGTGATTACCTGTGAAAAAAGGACATTTACAGTTCTCTGCTGGTCTGTGCAGTTTCCTTTTCCTTCTTCTCTGTATGCACCCTGGCCCCATATTCCAAAGAGAACGGAAAAAAATAGTTTGCTCACATATATGTAGATCTTTGATAGGCACAAAAAGCCCTCTGCTACCCTCTCCAAACCAGGCCATAGCTTTCTAGGAACCAAGAGAAGTGTGTACATGTTTCTGTGTGCATGTCTATCTGTGTGTGTGTGTGTGTGAGAGAGAGAGAGAGGAGATCTTGTTATCTTGGTCAGAGTGAGTTTTGTGATACCAAGTGAATGGATGCTTGGAAGCTTAACTTTTCCTCCCTGGTTTGACTGTGCCATCCTGTAATGGTAATTTGCGTGCCATCCTCAACAGAAAGAAAACTAAACTGTTCGCCAGGCTGAGGAAAAAGATGAGCAGGTACCGGTACGGAGAGCAGCATTTCGATACATGTTTGATTTAGTTCCTAAAACTGGAGAGGCTGTTGCTGGACTCTAACAGCCTGGCACATGTTAACCCTGTGATGGGAGAGGGGTCCGTTGCATGATACAATGTGTTCATGGCCTGCTGGGTCCTGCTGAGATCTCTCTGTGTCTGGATAATCCCATTAACTGCTTGTGTGCCTGGTTTGAATTCTTGCTTCTTTTCCTACCTAAGAAGGCAGCGTGAAAGCTCAGGCGTTGTCTGTTCTGTTGTTTTTGTGTGACTAAAAGCGTGGTGCTGGGTTTTCCGTGGGAAACGTGGGCAATTTTGATGATTAACAACTTCTGGTTTTACCTCGTGGAGCTTGCCCTTTTGAACAGGTCTGAAATGCCGCATTCTCATTCCCTGCCTGGCCAGGGAGGACTGTGGGGCAGGTCTTTCACACTCAGAAGTCCTGTCCTATCTACATTTTGCAGTTGGGAGGATGATGACGTGGGAGAAGGACACTTCCAGCTTTTCTCCTTACTTGCTCTGTGCTTGAGGATCCTCACTCTCTTGATCCATCCATTTAAAGTTTTGTGCCAGGCTGAAGGAAAAGGAAGCCTGTTGTCTTGTATGGAGACTAACGCCAGCATCTTGCCTTTCAAGATAGTAGTGGCATTGAATAACTGGATTGATACAATATCTCGAGTTACCATAGCCAAGGTCAAGGACTTACAAGAGCATGTTCTGGAGCAAAGTGGGAATTTCTGCATAATGTAACGGAAATATCCTCTAATTTTTGTTTTTCTTAGTCTTTGTGTTGGTACTGCCTCCATGCGGTCCTTATAGGAAGAAAAAAAAAAAATTATAATTCTCCAGATAGATGTCCTGCCAGCAATAAAAGCAAGTGCTGGTGGATTAGGATCCTTGCTTTTCTGATCCTGGCTTCCCTCTGACTTGGGCAAGTCACACAACCCTTCTCTTCGTGTCTGCCATGCATCCTTTGTAAAGTGGGAGGTTGGAGGGTAGAGAGTGGTAATTTCACAGGGAAGCAGATGGGAAAATCTTGATTTTTATATCCTCAGATGAAAAGTAATGAAGGTACTTCTCTGGATATCTGTCTCTGGTCCTTGGTTAGACCAGTGTTATACCTGTGCCAGGCGGGAGGTCTAGTATTTCCAGTCACTGATAACAGACAGTTGCTACAGCAGAGGGAGAACTAGTAAATCTCATCTCAATGAGCTGTAGCCACAATGTCCTTCTCTGATAAAGTCCAAGTGCATGACCTGGGCTGTGCTGGGGGTTTCTGCTGTCAGAGCACTGCTGGCATTGCAGAGAAATGTGCAACCCCTAATGCAGGGAAGGAGGGTCTGGGACTCAGTCACTCTTTGATCTTCAGCAGTGTGCCTTTTCCTCATTTTTCCTGCCTCTTTTTTAAAAAAAAAAATAATTTTCCAGCCTGCTTTGCTGCTAAAAATTAAATTAGTTTTGGCTAAAAAGCCCTGTCTGAGCCTTAGCTGAGATGCCAACCTTTTTTTTTTTTCTTTTTAACTCGAGAACTTGGCAAGTGGCGACTGACCTGTTTTTAACATATTGGAAAGTAGCTTTCATCATCTAACATAGGATTGTTACAAGCACATGAGAACCCCATCTGCAGGTGTTACTCTGCTCTTCCAGAACAGATGAGGCAGCCCCATGAGGGATCTGGGAGCTCAGCAGCACTAAAAGAGGCTGGGAGATTTTGGCTTTCCCTTCAGCTGCAGTAACTGCATTAGACCCTGTTCCCAGGTCTCTATTTGCAGAAGAAAGTTGACACCTCCTTCCCTTCCCTGCCTGATATTCCTGGGTTTGGCATCACTTCCCAATTGCTCATGGGAAGAAAAAAGAGAGAGCAATGACCTTGTTGTTTTGACTTGCTTTTACTGTGGTACTCACATTTGCTCAGTCCCCACAGTCTTGCTTTTCCCTGTGTTTCCTGGAGCAAGCAGTCAGTTTGGAGATGGGACTTAGTTTTATGTGAGCAGTGTGTGCTCCTTGGGGACTGGTGAAGGGCAGAGGAACTTGGTGACAAGCTTGCTTGACGCTGGTTGCACTCCTAAATGTGAGCAAAGCAACAAGTGCAGGAATAAAGGTGCCACTTGGGGGGTTGGAAAAGGCTCAGCCAAAATTAGCGGTGGCATTTTCCTTTGGGGATCAGCCAACACAACAAACAAGCTGTAAATAGTAGTGACTTAATGAAGGCTTTAGTGTGGAGCCTTCTCAGCCCTTGTAGGATGAGGGGAAGAAACTGGGCTGCTTCTCATGTGGGAGGCTTTTACCAGTGTATCTCCAAATTAAGTCACTGCCAGGCACCAGAATAAGGCACTAAAAAGTTGTTTCATGGCCTTAAGAAAATAAGCCTGAACTCCTTTCTCACTGGGAGAAATGGCCTCTTCGGGTCCCTAGAAGGAAAAGTCTACCTTTGGTAGGCCAGCTGATAGCCAGTAGACTGGGCATTTGAGGAGTCCTGGCAGTCTCGCTGTAGATCACTGTGTCCCTCATCTTCTCCAAAGTGCTTTCAACTCTAGAAAAGGTAACATATATTTTTTTTTTCCCCAACTCTAGCATCACAGAGTTGGCATACATGTTCTTTAGTCTCTCCTTCCCTTCTTCCTCTTCCTTTCCCTGTTTTTCCCTTGGTGCGTGTGCCTCTGGGTGAGAGCTACTGGCAGAGAATGTCATTTGGTTTGTTGCATCATGTTGGTGTGCTGCTGGCATCAGTGTCATCAGAAACATCTGACCTGCATGCAGACCTGAGAACAAGCACTTTATGGGGAAATGTGTGTGTGGGGTGTGGATATGGGGAGAAAGTGGGGAGAATGGGTGAGGGCGAAGTGAACGAAGAAGGAATGGGATGGGGAGCTTGAAAGCTGGAATGCTAAGCAGGGGGAGATGCTTGCTTGGAAGGGGAGGTTTGTTGAAATGCCTTGCTGTCCCTTCCTCCTCTTGCTGTCCTCTTACTCATGAGTGTTTAGGAATGAGGCCATCATGCATGTTAGCCAATAACCACCACACCTCGATCATCCAAGTGTGAGTGGATGTACATGTCTGGAGCTCTGGGCTCTCTTGGAACAGAGCAAAGAAATAATCAACTTGATGTCCCTGCAGAATCAGGTCTGCATTGCTCTAATCCTGGCTCCATGCCAGGATTTATTGTCTCAAACTGTAGGACAGGAACTGTTCCTTTCAGCCTTTTCCCAAGGCCCTTTAACTTCGCAAGAACTGCAACTTTATAAGTGAAGGCAAATGTCATTCCCTATAGATAAGATTGCACAGCACTTTTGCAATATTCTGTAATATTCTGCTTTCAGCTGTGTATAGTTTTGCCAAACTGTAACCACTTCTGCTAAAATATCCCCTACCAGTGTCTGTGCTTCTGCATGACTTGAGATAAATTGATTAGCTGCTTTTTGGGAGTTGAATTTCAACCAAGATGATTCAACTGTTCCTGAGGATTAGGCTGGGAAAACAATTTTACCTTTATCCCTGTTGAAATTATCTGGTAACCAACTTTTTACTAAAGCTCTCATGATTCTGTACTATGAAGCACACTTGGCCAGGGCACGCCCTTAGGGAAGGGCATGTGCCTCTTGCCATTCCTTTGAAAAATCTATCCAAATCTGACCAAGTTATGAACCAATAAATGCTATTGGCATATGCTCCTTGCATCTTAATTCCTTGAAAAATCCCTCTTGACTTGGGTGTCCAAAACAGCCCTGGAATAAGGACCAACTGGAAAGGCAAGGGCAGAAGGGGTTCATAATTGAAAACAAGGCTGAGGAGACTTCCCATAGCAGAGAAATCTTTATTAGTAGTGAGAATCTCATTGTTTCTTTGCTGTCCGAAATGATCTGTGAAACCCCTGGCTACTTGGCTCCTCTTCCAGCTTAGCCAGTTTGTACCACATAGAGGAATATGTTATTTTATGATAATGGCCTTAGTTCAGGTGTTGTGAATCTATTAGTCATAACTCATGCCGGTGTCATTACACTACCACGCAGAAAAATTCTTATCTGTATAATTTAAAACTAAATGAGCTCCCCCATCTGCTTCCCCAGTATTAAAAGACTATGACTTAATGTCAGGTCCTTACATTAGAATCTAGCAGAATTAAGATTGCCTGTTTTTTTGTTTTTATTTTTCTGTGTCTGAGGCTAAGTATGTCCATGCCCTAGGAATTTAGTGAATAGTCTGCTGCACAGTAATGCTGCTGCAGCGTTTTGGACTGCGAGTGACTCAGCAAAGATGCTTCTCAGAAGCTTGCAGAGGCTTCAAATGTCTTTATCACGTGTCTGGGCAACAAAGCAGAGAGATAATGGAGGTCACTGATCTGTGCTTGTTAGCACAACTCTTCCTAGGCCTGGCTCAGACTTCTCTCTCTCTTTACCTCTCTCTCCCTTTCTCTCTCCACTTCCTTCAGTGACAGCACCCCAGCGAAAGCAAATAAAAGCCCCTCGCCTCCACCAGATGGATCTCCCATCACCAGCCCTGAGACCAAGACTGTCAACCATGAGCTGGAACCGTCCACTTTGGAAGCGTCTGGGGCAAGCATCCCAAAGTCACCATCTCAGGTAGTGTCCCCATGACATTAACCATGTCTCTGCAGTATGACCATTGATGACACAAGCTCTGTGAGTCGAAGACACCTATCAGTCACTTTTTGGGACCTCCTTCTGCTACTGAGCACAGACAATATGACATGATGGTTGTTCTCCTTCACTGGTTCCTGAAAATACAAGTTGCTCATTGGTCATCTCTGTATCATATTGGGAAGAACTAAGCTGTCTCTGAATGCCTTTACAGGAGGAAAGTTAGTAAAATGTTTTGCTGCCTGGTAGGTTGGCCAAGAAGATCCAGGGAGGATGGAGTTGTAGCTAGGTGAGGAAGTTGATTCTTTACATTTAAATTAACCTGTGGAATTCCATGGTCCATTTTCTTCTCAAGAAATTCCATAACTGAGGAAGGTTCAATGAAAAAAGTCTAATATTGATAAAGAGAGCATCTGTACTTTGCACGATGCTTTACTTTAATCCCAAGGTAAAATATTATGCCAAAAATAAAGGCATTATATTCTTACACTATGAAGAAATTAGGTGGGTACTAGGAAGAAGACTGTCCATTATATGGAGTCTGATATCTTCCATGTGGCCTTAGTTAGTCCTTCCCTTACACAGGAGACACCCAGTGGCATGTTTAAAATAGCAGATGTAGCTCCTGCTACTCAGCATATCATGATATATTTTACTTTGAGATTTAAGGAAAATAAAACATTTATTTCATCTTCCCATCCCTCTGTTGCTGAGGAGGTAAAACTTTAGTAGAGAAAAGTAGTAACTAGGCCAAATTTATGTCTGGTGCCAATCCTTGCATTTCAGTAAGTGGGACACCAGGGAGGAGTCTTCCGGGAAGAATTAAAGCTGAGAAGGGTTCTGGCCAAACTGGTAGGAGAAAAACATATTGCTTCTGAAAAGAGATGAGTGCAACGCATAACTTCCTTGCTGTTGTCATACATAGCCGTGAGATTCCAAATCCAGGCCTGTAGTGTAGGCTGTCTCCTGTTTCTGGATAGCCTCTCACAATATTTTTCCCTCCACTGAATTTTTTATTTTCAGGGTTATCCAGGGACAAAAAGGGGATGTTTGTATATTGGCAATAGGGTCTTTTCTAGCCCTGTGAGATATGTGGATGCCTGGCAGTGTCTTTGCAGGACTTCTCCAGGGTCTCTGCAGCACTCAGCACTGCACAGCTTAGAGCAGCTTCACGACCACCCTGGCTAGGAGCGTGGAGTCGGGATGTGTATGGGGCAGAGGGGATAGTGCATCCAGAACTGCCTTCCTGCTTTTTCAGAGATTGCCATAACTTTATTGAAATTTGGAACAAGAAATCATACAGACTTGTTGAGCTGTTCCCTGCAGGCTTCACTCACACTGCCTGTGGACTTGTCTTGCTGAATTTGACTTCTTCCCTTTGCTTTAAATAGCACACAGAAGCCTTGTTTTTGCCAGCCTGCAAGTGCTTTCTCATTCACTTGCTGCCTTCCTGCCCGCAGGAATGGGGCTGGAGGCACCCCTTGTCGAGCAAGCAGTGCAGCACTGGCTGGAACCTCAGATGGGCCACAGGCAAGACTGAAATGGTGTTTGCAGCTAATGCTGCCACCGCCTGGCAGCTCTATCCCAATCTATATTTAATCCATTCTCCAGGGCCTCACAGAGCTCCACTCCATATTTGTACTAGGTGCTAAGAGATGGAACTGGCTCCAGAGGGAGGGACGACAAAGACAGGGGTTTCATACTAGGAGCCAAGCCTGGTGTCTGTGTGGATGAAGTCTAGAAACTAAGTGTGTGTCAGCTTGCCAGCCAGGTGGAACACACAACAGTCTACTCTCCCAACAGTGCTCAACTTTAATACTGAACTCTTCACAGGTGTCATTACTTTTGACCTATGGGGAAGTGATTTGTTCTAGGGTCCTCCTGGGGAGGCTGGGGGCCACGTCCTCTGAGGGAGAATGGAGTGAAAAGCAACAAACAAGTACAAATCTTCTGTCTGCAATTTTAATGCAAACCATAAGCAAAGGCTATGGAGAGAAAGTCAGCAAAACAGGAGAGACCAAATAAATACTAACTATACATTTTGAATTGTTCCTATGCCAAAAAAATAGCTTTTACTCTTACTGTCCTGTAATTCTCATAAATGGCTTTTTTCTGTCTTTTGGAAGAAGCAACTGCTATCTGCTCTCTGCACTGAATAATTTGATGATGACACAGGACTTCAGGGGTCTGTGAAATTTCAGAGGTCAGACTTTTGCTCTCAGTTGCACCACTGAAACACTGTAATGACACTTTTCAAATCAGTGCAACTATATTGAATTTAAACAGGTAAAGCTCTGTGGGATCCAAGTCAGCAGAAGAATTTTAGAGGATTTGTTTTATTCTAGGTGGCAGAGTTGTTCATGCTTGATGAATGTCCAAGTATAACCCAACATCATTGTGCAGTCCTGTTGTTTTTTGAAATGTGGTTTTAGGCTGCTGTTGGAGGTAATGCTGGACACTGTGGAAGTGGTGGTCTCCAAGACACTAATGCATTGGAAGGAAGGAGACTGAGTATTTTAGAGAAATAAAGAGCCAAAGGGTTGGGATCTTTTTGACTTTAGAGTTTGTAATTGAAGTCTTCCATTTCTGCAGATCATGGCTGTGTTCTGAGAAAAGCTTTTCCCCGAAATTTCTGGTCCCTTCTTGCAGATGGCAAGCAGGGGATTTTCAGGAAGGGATTGTTCTTGGGGAATGTGGATACACCACCTTCTACAAACAGTGAAAAGCTGGAAGTGAACACACTACTTTCATTATTTCCCCTAACTAGCTATTCAGTGAAAAGAGTGTGTTTTCTTACTCACACTCTCTAAAGTAGGTTAACATAATAGAAAACTGGGCATATCCTTAGTAATCCAAATAAATACCTTGTTCGACCTCAGTTATATGCTGGAGGAGTGTGAACACAGAAGTAGGAGTCGGGGATTGCTGTGTTTCAGATCTGGGCCTGACACTGATATACTGGATGCCCATTGTCAGGTCTCTGAGTCTTGCTGCCTTGGGATCCTCAGTACAATGAGAAGACCAAGTAACTGTAAAACATGACTGTAAATGGAAAATATTGTCATTGCTGAGCACCACTGTGGTGCTGGGAACTTGTAAGGCTGCTTTGTTCCAACACAACAGCAACTCTTCAGAGTTTGATTTTATCTAGAAATGATCATTGAGCCTTGGGCACAGGAAGATGAGAAAAGAATGTGGATGGGTTGATCTAGGGAGGGTCTACCACAGCTTCCCACTGGGTTGTGGATGCAGTGTCAGGCTGAGACTTTTAGCATGATGGTAGGTGTTAGGATGGGTAAGAGTTACAGGGTCAGAGTTTGTTCTGCATTCTCTAGGATCTCCTTTTGGGAAATATGACTTAATTATTGTCAAGGCTCGTTGGTGAAACTGAGAGCAGAGTTGGGCCCATAGCAGTCGTGGCTTCTCAGGAGTTTGAATTGTTTTTGCCTAAAGCTGGTAGTTAAGAGAAGTGGTTAAGATGCCATCAAGAGCTCCTTCAGACCTTTCTTATGGTACACTGATAACCAGTGCACCATGGAACCAGGACTTGGCGGATCAGAGTCTGTCATCATGGTCACCTACCCATAATAGGACAAACTGAGTCTATCTCTCATTCCCTTAGGTATGGTAAGTATGGCAAAAAGAGGCAGTGCTGGCCTCGTATATTGAATCATGTTCTCAGTAATTGATCTGCTCCCTTCCCACTGGTTCTTTTGAAGGTTGCACATGCTTTAATTACGTATGCATGTCCTGTCAATGCATATTAATTGTGTTACGCTTCTCCTCTGCAGAGGGAAACTTGCCCATGGCTGAAGTGTAACTAATGATGCCCAACCTTCTCTGGAGGCGTGTGGTTGTTGTTTTTGTTTTGTTTCAGTTCAGCCCTGCACCCTCCCTCCCTTTCTCTTCAGATGGAGTTGATTGGACCCTGCTCTGTGCCAGTGGTTGTGATTTCCTCCACCTTCAGTTTTTGTGGCTAACCTGGTTCCTGTCTCTGGTTTTTTTGGGTGTCGCCGTCTGTGCTGTGGCTGTGTGCTCACTTGCATGCAGTTGAGGAAAGGGCCTCCGGTGCCTCCGCCTCCAAAAGTCACACCCTCCAAGGAGATCAAGCAGGAGAACATCATCAGTCTGTTTGATGACAATTTTGTCCCTGAGATAAGTGTGACGACCCCTTCGCAGGTTAGCTGCTATGCCCTGCCTTATATTTATCTGTCTCTGAACTTTTCCTTTTGACCTTTCTTCTCTTTGGGGGTGTCAAGCCATGAAACCTGGTCAGGTGAAGGAGGAAGGAAGGCTCAGCATTGGATCTCAGAAGGCAAAGGGTTAGAGAGGAGGCTAATTTAGAGGGGCGTGTGGCTAGAAGGTGCCTTTGACTAACATGTTGCCCTTTGAGAGCTTTCATTCATAGAAGAAACAGGAGAAATGCAAGTGGTGAAGATGCCAGAAAGTAACCAGTGCATTTGTTCGGCAGCAATGCACATGGATTATGGCTCCCCTCATGATATGTTCTCTCCAGACCCACTGATCCTTGGTGTGGATGAAGCATGTGTTTTCTACTCTTGTACATCCCCAAATGCTGGCCCTGGCATCTGTGGAGAAGGCAGTTTTGTGCTCTCTGTGCATTCACACACGGGCTTTGTGGTTTGAAGCCCATACCTGTACAGGAAAGGCCAACAGGAATTGCATGAAGTTCTCTTTGCAGAGAATAGGTACCTCCAGTTTAGATAGGCAGGACAGTAGCTGCTGTGAATTTGGGACTGCTGACACAAGTCTGTCACTCTTCACCAACCAGCGGTTCCCACCAGAATATTTCTTTCTTTTCATATGGCACCTCTTGAAGCCCTGAAAAAAACAAAAAAAACCCCATTTTTAAATGATATATTTTCCTCTTCAATTTCCTTTTGGTTTACATCACTGCAAGGGAGGATGTCCAGGTGGGGAGTTCTGTGTTGGATCTAGGAGAAGGGCAGTCCTTATGTATATAGGAGCCTGACCAGATTTCTGGCTGTATCATTAGATATCTGCATTTACTTTTTAAAATATATATACACACACACATATATATTTTTTTTCCTAAATGCTTGTTAAAGCACAAGTAATATCTCTATTGGTGCTCATCTGTGACTCATGCCCTAACTTTTCCTTGCATCATGCTACTTCATTGCCTCTGGTTTGCCACCTTCCACCCAGCTGCTGAGGAGCAGAGGTGGAGTGGGGAGGGAAGGAAGTCCATGTCAGATTTTGCATTACAATAGATAAAGCTTGTAGAACAGGGAGATGATTTGACAGCAGTGTTGGAAGGTGGGCACCACAGGCAGCTGAGCAACTCGTAATTTTCTGTGCTTCCTTCTCCTGTACCATGACGCACAGCTCTGTCTGCCCCATGGTTTTATCAGCTGTTTCCATGTCAACGCCAGCCCTTAGTCAGATGTGCTTATCTGCACCTGATCAGTGCTGTGACCCAGGATGAGATCTGCTGTGACTTTCAATCAGATGGGAGTTCTGAGGGAGGACTCTGGTTGCTAGAACAATCTTCACTGAAGTACTCAGCTTCTGCTAGTGTTCAGTGTGTTGCCCAGGGCCTTTCCTGTCAGATGTTCTTAGCTCCAATAAACTGTCTTGTGGGTGAAGGCAAGGAGTGTGCTAGCCCTTGCATATAAGTCTTGAATGGCAGGTAAGATTATTCCATGACTCGAGCCTTTGATTTCTCACTACCAAACAAAACTGAAGATTGTGGTTGGCACCTCTGTGATGGGTGGCCTGAATGTGCTGGAGGAGCAAGCATACTAGAATGCAAGTTGGTTTTTGCATACTGGTCAGGGTTTATTATTATGAGATAGGAGATCTTGGTTCCTTGTCCTCATCCATATGGATGTCAGAAAGAGATGGTCATAAGGGAGAGAAAAATCTGTAAGAAAATTGGAGTAAAAGGAAACTAGAGGAGGTAAAAATGATGATGTGGGTTGTATTCAGAGGACTTTCTTTTAAATGATGTCTCTTGCTACATTCTAGGAGTTTTTCATTGGGGGGCTATGAAAAAACTGTGGAGACCAACCTGCCACACTTTGTGTGTTGTTGGAAAGTTAGTTGAAGCAGTAGGGTTAGTGAGCTGGGAGGTCAGTGGAAACACGCAAATCTTCCTGGAGAGAGCAGCTTCCTCTGAAGCTGAGTAGAAAGGAGCATCTTGTAGTGGATAAGTTGTATCTAAAAACCAAAAGTGACAGTTCAGTTTTTGATTACTAATGGTTCCTGTCCTTTGTAGGGACTGTTTTATTAATGGTAATCAGCAAATGTGCCATCATTGTCTTTAGCTAGAGTGTTAATCAGTCAAAGGGAGTTATTCTGCTGACTTTGAAGGGAGTAGCAAAGCCTCTCAAATTTATGCTGTGTTAGAAGACTCGTGTGTGTGTGTTCCTCAGCTGTCCAGAAATAGAAACCATTGAAACCAGCATTTTTGGATAGGGCAGTGATTCAAATCCCTTAGCTAGTGTGAGCAGCCATATTCTGTATTTCTGTCTCAGAAGGCAGGAGGGAATTAGGAGCTTTGGGAGTTAGCTCTGAGGTCTTTCAGACTTGCCTTCCAGCAGTTTGAGTGGTTTTTTGCCTGGATCTGTGTTCCTGAGTTAAGCTGTATGGATGGCAACTGTTCTGGTTGTGGCTGAGGGAGTCTGTCCTGGGCCTGCAGTACAAAGGCAGCTGGATGAGCTATGAGGCATAGATAAAAGTAGAAGAGAAGCCCTCTTAAGTTGTCAGTGGCAGTGATCCCTTTTACCACAGCAGTTGAAGTGCCTATACCATGTCAGCTCATTTGGCCAGGTGAGAAGATGAATGAGTCCTGTGGGAAAGGCTCAGGTTTGGTTTACAGTGGCACCCATGAGAACTACCCGTGATTAGAGGCACCAAGCAGTCAGGAGTCACATCAGGTGTTTGCATTGCCACCATGTCTTCTGCGCTTGCAGCCCTAGCTCCTGGATATCACATACCCTCCCTCTACTGTGCATGTGTGCGTGTGTGTCTCTAATGCTCGTACTGCTTTTCTTCCTCACTGCTGCCAAGTTTGATGCCCCTGGGCCCTTCCAGGAGGGAGCCAGCCTGTTGGATCTGGATTTTGATCCCATTAAACCAGATGCCACTGTGGGGAAGACCCCCACACCCGCCTCCCAGGTTGGTTCATATCACCATTCCTTCTCCCTTCATAACTGACTTGGTGCCAAGTGTGGCATGAGCTGCACCCACATGAATGATAACATGGACCTGAGCTGTGGGTGGCTGGAGTGGGTATCCAGACCTGTGCGTTGCAGATGGGCACCTTGGTCTTCTCGGCTGGATGTGTAAGTCCAGTGAGAATCAGGTGGCTATTAGTCTGGCCACAGTCTGGCATTAGGTGTTTGTAGGATGCGTGTGCTTAGCTCTGATGATCTACTGATTGACAACTTGTTTTAACTTAATGTGTGTCCCTCCTCAGATTAGCACCCTCTGTGTGCTATATGGATTTAAACTGTTAGTGCATGGGAATTCAACCTCAGTTCTGTGCTACTGCTATAAATTTCTCTCAAAGGGATTTTTAATAAATAGACTGATGATCTGCAATTACTTAAGGTGAATAAAGCTGTAGAAGGATATTCAAGTGATGTGAAACCTTACTTTTTTTTGCTATAACATAACCTCTGTTCATAGTTAAGAAGTAGCTTCCTCCCTGAGCATGGTGCTGCGCAGTGCAGTATCAAAAAGGAAGGTGCCTAATTCTGGTCTGGCCTGTACCTGGTCCTGTCTGATGTCAGAGGCAGGTGGACTGCACTTCATTTTATGTCTAAATGGCTTGAGGCTTTGAAGTGCATCCTGGATTTTGCTGTTGTCCTCACTGAGACTTTCCATTTCCTAGGTATGAAATGGTTATTTTTTGCCTGTGGTTGCCATTAAAATTTGTAATAAACATAACTGGGTTGTTTACAGTATTTCTCCATTATCATCATATCAAGTAGGCCTATATGACACAGATTTTTGGAGTGATAAGACCTCTCTTATTAGAGAGATCAAACATTAGGCATTTTATTCTTCTAAATTGAAATGCTGTATCTGCAAACTACTAGTTATTATCATAGTTTAATACACACCAATATGGCAAGCTACCACTTTCTGGAACTTTAAATGGGCAGATTATCATTTCATGTCTGCTTGCTTGACAGAACAAGCTGCATGCCAGGATAAGCTTTTTTTAAAAAAAAATTATTTACTGGGATTTAAAAAAATCTGAATCACTGATTATAACCTGGATAATTTGGTATACTGGCATAGGATATGAATATAAATTTAACTTAAAATAGAATTATTTGTTACTCTTCTAGCAAGGAACAAATAGTACACTGAATGGGTTTTTCAAAACTGCTCAGTAATAGCATATTTGGCATTCTAATATACTTATTATTAGCTTTAGAAGTCATTAAAAGGAAGAGTTTGAAATAATACTTTCTAATGTTAACCACAATACCAAACCTAGTGAAAACCACCTAGTTTTCCAATTTATTTCCTATAGGGTGGGCACTACGACAAAGAGGTTAAGATATTTCACTACTGATCCAAAGACACCAGTTGAAGTCTTGTTCTGAAATCATACTAACTATGTTGGGTGTGGATATATGGGAGCATATTTAGTACTGATGGACCACAAACTCATGAGGCTTTTTTTTTTTTTTTCTGGCTATGTGATCTGCCACTGATAACTGAATGTGGCTTGGTTGTCTCTCTTCATACCAGAGGAAGAAAAAACCCTTACTCAAATACCTTGTTACTTAAATTTGAATATGCAGTGGGGAGAGGTGTATAAATTCAGGAAGTAAAAAAATATTTTTAGAACATGCAGAGATAAGTGCTGTTGAATGTGTATGTCTGCTTCAGTCTGATCAGCATCTGTAACGTTTGTACTCATTGAAATAATCTCGTATAAACATGTTTTATTTTTGTTGCTCTTTGACATGCTTAGTCTTTACCTTGGGATTTATGGGAGGTAAGAACTTCATACAGCTTTCATCTGTCATCATGTACTGTGCATGTGCCAGTGCCATCTCTATGTGCATACCTGTCTCCTTTCCCTTGCTGCTTTTCCTTTCTGCATACCCCAAACCAAAGTTGCTCCATGTGCTGCTGAATCCCCTTTCGCACCCTCTGTGAAGCATGAGGGGTAGCAACGTGTTTGCAGTTCTGGTCTGGCACTCTGAAACTTATGTCTCCATCAGTGCGCAAACCCATTACCTTTCCCTGCTAACTTACTCATCTTTCCTTTGACATGATGTTGTAATGTTCTCCTCAAACTTAATCCCACTGTGGCATCATCCTCACTCTCCATTCCCCAGTATTTCCTAAACTCTGTACATCCTGTTGGTCTTGTGTGTGCTGCATAAATGTCTCAGCTGCCCCTCATCTTTACTGCCTGTACCACTGGGTATGCATACACGTTTGGAATTATCTGTGGTGTTTGCTGTTCACTAACCATTGTTGCCAGGAAGGCTGATGTGAAGTAGCTCAGTCTGTGTCTACACTGAAAGTTAAGTGCACACCCAAGACTTACCTGGCATCTGCCTCAACCTCAGCTTTGGAGCTTGCTGATAAGAAGGACCCTACGCACGCTCTGCATCTGAACCAAAGCCAGATGCCCATTTATGCCTCTAGATTTGTCGGGCCCAGGAAGGTTTCAGATTGCTGCAGGTTAGCCCATTGGGAGACATTTCAAGGACAACTACTTTTGAGCCTCTCTGTACAGACAACCAGAAGTGTGGACAGCAAATGCTTGGTCTGTGTACTCAAGCCTGCTACCTGAGCTGGCTGTATCCCACGGTGTAGACTTAAGCACATGTCCTTGGCTTATGCTGGGTAATCAATCCAGTCCTGCCAACCTTTTCATTCTCAAGGGCCAGATCACCACCTAGAGTCAGTACTTGGGAGGACATGACTTAACCCTTGCTGAGAGCCTGGCTTAAGGACTCACTGTGGCCAGTGCTCTCTTTCAAATGAGCTTGGGTCATGTCAAGAAAGAGGTTTCCCTTGTGTGTTTTATCAGCCATCAGTCTTTAACATATGTCCTTGCCCTGTATGTGCATTGTCAATCTGTTTTAGTAAGAAAGAAAAGTTGTCTGTGTTTTCACAAGGAAAGATCTCGTACCTTTCAAGCGGATGGGCAGGGGTGAGGTATGACTGTATCTGACTGAGCTGTGCTTACAGTCTAGGGTGTAAAAGGTGTTTTGGGCCATTTTTCCCAATCTGGAAACTGATTTCAACCAAAGGACAATTTAATCAACTGCGGAATGGTACCAGACAGGATGTTCTCACCATGCCAGTTCTCATCTTGGCATACCATACATGGGTAAAGAGCAGAGCTCCCTATAGTGGGGAAGCAAGCTCCTCTTGCTTTTCAAGTTTTCTGAAATGTTTTTACTCTAATGTTCTTAGCTGTTGATGAGAGGAGACTTGTTGCATGGTTACATAGTCCAATATGTCATGAAGTTAACAACTGCATTGAAACTTGGATGCAGCAGAACTTCCTTAGTTCTGCAGATTAGGAAACTTGTATTTGGCCTGTATGATGCTGCTGTTGGAATAAACAAAGCTTTCACACCTGGCAACAGCAGTGAGCAATTCTTCCTCTTCTCCCTATACTATCTTTCCATGACTGTAAATGCTTTTATAGGCCTTGGGATGCCCACAGGTACACAAAATAAAAAAATAAGTAGCTGACATGAAAATGCCCTTTGTTGAAATCCATGGGATTAATTTAGATCAAATTTATCTGGTTATTAAATACTGTTTTTGCAAATTAGTTGCTTTTAAAAAAGGAGCTCATGTTGAGCTCCTTTTCACTTGTCCGCATAAAACCACCCATGTTTGGCCAGTTAGAGTTGGGCTGGCATCTATCCCAGTTCCAGTTTCACTGAATCCAAATAAAAAGCAAGTTGGGAGTGAATCTAATTAAACAGAAGAAGCCTTTGTAGCATTTCATGTGCATACGTTTACCTTAACACTACCAAAGCTGCTGTGGGAATCCTCTGCAGGATGGGAACAGCTCTGCTGTTTATAATATCCTCTGGCAATATAGGTCTGTGGACATGGTGATGGGGAGACAGGAAGGATGTGATAGGAGAGGAAAGCATGTGTTAAATGGCACCATTGGAACAGCTGAAGGTAAAGTAATGGCTTTTTGTTAAATCATGGATTTATTTCTTCATTATTGCTGCTGTTATTAGAAAACTACTTGGAGCATTGTGCCAGTGCATAGCAAGTAGCCAGATAGGTGTAGAGTTAAGGGTTACCATGGTTGGTGCTTTACACTGGGCTTTTGTAGGGTTGGGACTAAGAGGATTGCAACTTTAAGAAAACAACTTTAAGAAATCTGGACAATACCTGTTTTTGAATGTGGTTGTATTTAGGGGTACATGTGTTTACCAAAGGTATGAGGCCGTAGGCATGCGAAAGGTGATTTATTCACGTGTATTAAAACTGGGAAATCTCTGTATAGCAATCTCTATTGTGCAAGTATAAAGTGCGTATCTGGTTAGATTCCATGAAGAAGCGTGTGTGCTATCTGGTATAGAGAACAAATGGATATAGAGTCGTCACGAAGACACTCAGGCTGCAAATTAGACCCCTGAGATTCTTGTTGAGAGTCTTCCCAGGTGCTGCCTGGCCACTCTTCCATAGGGCTGGTCTGCAGCATTGATGCTAACAGATCCAACTTACTTCCTGTGTTGCTGCAGTTTCTGTAAGGCACAAATGAATATCTTTAATTTTGTGTTAAAACAGAGTTAGCCTGACTTCAGGCAAGGGAGAATAAAAGCTTGAACCGCTGCAAGTATATTGGAGGTGTTTGGTTGGTCTTTTCTTGTGCACAGAAACCCCTCTTCCCAGCCTTCCTAGACTAGTCTCTGCCAGGCAGTAATTTGTAGGTGATGCTAAATATTTCTCCCTGGTGGTGGCAGCTTTTGTGCATTAGAAACTCACCTCTCCACCAACACAAATGTGTGTATTTATGCACACACCATATGTAATATTCATAGGAAATTCTTACTTAATAGAATATTCACAACAGAATCCAAATTCATGACTCTGGGCATATCCAAAATCAAATTGGGTGAAAGTTAGCACAGTTTTTAATTCAATTTGATTTAATGCTAGTGTCATGTAGATGCTGGGTGCAGACTTGAGTTCTGTATCTGGACACGTTATTACCATGCTCTTCTGTTTCTGGGGATATGCAAAGGCTTAAATATTCTTTGGTTGTTGATCCTTGGAAGTAGCATATTGAGAGATCGTAGAATCATAGAATGTTGCTAGTTGGAAGGGACCCACAAGGATCATCGAGTCCAACTCTTGCCCTAGCATAGGACGATCCCAAGATTCAGACCATGTGTCTGAGGGCCTCGTCCAAATGCTTCTTGAATATTGTCAGGCTTGGTGCCATGACTACCTCCCTGGGGAGCCTGTTCCAGTGCTCCATCACCTCTGGGTGAAGAACCTTTTCCTAATGTCCAACCTAAACCTCCCCTGGCACATCTTCCTGCCATTTCCCCTGGTTGCCAGAGAGAAGAGATCTTTATCACTTGGCACGCAAGCAGATTTTTATTCACATACAAGTGGGCAAGCTATATGTAATAATAGATACTGTGCACTTGTAAAGTAGGTCTGCAATTTGGATCGTGAAAAGAAAGAGGCACACAGGATTTTTGGCATTTCATTGATTTCCTCTGGAGTATTACCTGCTTCATGGCTGGATAGAGGGAATGTAGGCTTCACTGCGATTTCACTGGGTTGCAGAGAAAGAGGGAGACAGAAACCTGGCAAGACCCTGAGGTTTCTCACCTGTTTGTCAGCAGATGGCAGCAGCCAACAGCATAGAACACTTGGACAGACTGAGCTGTACTTTTCTGCACACACACATAACTGTAATGAGCATAACTCTCCACCTGGATGAATTTTGTATTGCAGCCTGCAGAAGCAGCCCATGCAGGAGCTGAAGCAGCTGGATCAGAAGCAGCAGCTGGAGCTGAAGCATCTAAAACTGAAGCTGATTCAGGATCGGTAAGCACCTTGAGGGACAGCAGTCCCTTTTTGCTATCACGTCCCTTTGTCGTACAGATGTGGAAGGCTGGGCTGGGGAAAGAGATGTGTGGCTGTTTGGAAAAACATGTCCCTGCCACCCCAGCAGTTAAAATGCTTTTATTCAGAGGCCAGACTTAGCTGTTTCATTTTATCTGTGCAATGCTTAGGGAGAAGCTCTGCTGAAAGATCCACAAAAGAACTGTCCCTTCACCTATGTTGTGAAGCCAGCCCACAGCCCATGCTGTGCTAAGCTTATGTTGTCTACTGGATTCCTATTTGCTTGCCATTTACTTTACCTACCCTGTTCTCTGGTCTCTGCCTGTGTCTTCTGAATATCCAGGGTTGTTCTTTTTTTCCTGATGTTGCCACCTTTTTAGGAGACTGGAGTAGGTCCCAACTCATGGGTGCTTGGTTCTGATAGACTGTTGCATTTGAGTAGTCTGTTCCACAGGGGCTCTCCAAGAATTGTGTCGTGACTGCAGTGAATGGGAAATGCCAGGCATTATGGTCCCAGAAAAACCCCAAGTCCTCTCTGCCCCTCTGCAACCTTAAGCAAAGGAAGGCAGTGGTCACCTCTCCTGCCTTCTCACTGCTGCCTCTGCTGTCCTTTGGGGTGTTTTTGTCACTGACTGGTATACTGGGAAAACCCACTGAAGCCAGGGGTAGGATAGGATATGGATCTTCTGGGGTGGACCTGGAGCAGTAATTTTGGATTCTCTTTTCTCAATGGCTTTTTTTCCTTCCCTGCCTGCTGCTGACTACCAGAGCTCTCTGCCTGCTGTGGTTGTGGAAACTTTCCCTGCTACTGTCAATGGCACTGTGGAAGGAGGTGCTTCATCTGAAAGAGCTGACATGCCCCCAGGATTTCTGTTCAAGGTGAGTGTGTGGTGGTGGGGCGCAGAGTTCCTGGTGATTTTTTTTTTTTCCTGTAATGAATTAACTATTTTTGCTCAGCATGGCCACGGGCTATGCCATATTGAAAGGGAGAAAGGAAGTCGAAGGAGAGATACACCCTCTTATCCAGCAGCCCAGCTTCATGCAGTTCCAGATGCTTCAAAGGACTGTTTAAGAGCATCTGGCTGTGTTGTACAGCAAAACTGATCCTTCTCACTGCTGCAGTTATTTCAGTCTCTGGGGTGTGGTAGTGTCAGTCACAGACTCTGGATAGTAGATGAGAAGTTGTGCTCCAAACTGGCAAGGTTAAAATTTGATGCAAGTAGCAAATGAAGAGTTGGAAACACCAGCAGGGACAGAGGACTTTGTGTTTGGGAAAATTAGAAAGCCGGGATGAACAGGGAAATATATATAATTAGACAGGGAAATCTGGTGGATATTCTAAATATATAAAAGATCACTCGCAGCTTGTTTTGAAGGTGTGGAGGAAGGAGTGATTCTGAGTGAGGACAGGTCGCAAGTATAACGTTCATAATGGAATATGGTAGCAAGACAGCACAGTTACATCATGTTCTTAAAGTGAGAAATGACAGTTTCCTGCTATAGGAATGCTTTTTTTCTGCTTTAGTCATGTCCATGCATATTTTTTTTTTTTCTGGGAGCTCTACCAAAAGCAGAAGAATGACAAAATCCTGAAGAACAATAGGACACTCATCACATTTATACTGGTTACAGACAGCATTATTTACTGCTGTGCTTGAAATGGAGAGCTGTGGTTTGAAGTAGAAAAGCTCTAATGGAGATGTTGATAGGAATTAGGCTGAATACCAAAGAGAAAACATGGTGGGATACAATCACTTGAAGATCCAAACTGATACTCTTCCCTATGTTTCATCTCCATGCCTGCTGTGACAGAGATAGGAGGCTACAATCTCTAATACTCTTGCAGTCCAACTGCAAAAAGAATACAGGGAACCATCTGAGTGAATACAGGCTTTCTACCCTGTGAGGTTTTTAAGCTCATACCATGAGAATTCAGACCTCCTAGAGGAAGGAAAGGGAGGTGCTGATTCATAACAAGTTAGGAAGAGAGGAGGTTTATATTAGATAGGAGGAAAGATTTCTTTACTGAAAGAGTGGTCAAGCATTAGAACAGGCTGCCCAGGGAAGTGATGGAGTCACCATCCCTGGAGGTGTTCAAAAAACTTGTAGACGTGGCACTTCAGGTCATGGTTTAGTGAGCGTGATGGTGTTGGGTTGACAGTTGGACTTGATGATCTTGGAGGTCTTTTCTAACCTTAATGATTCTATTATTCTGATTCTAAGTTGAATGAGACTCACCAGGATGCCTTTGTGGCAAAGACGAGCTGCATGCCAGGCTGAGGGAGCTGCATGAAAGGCTGAGGGAGCTGGGTCTCTTTA